CAACTGTGTGTGTGTGTGTGTGTGTGTGTGTGTGTGTGTGTGCAGGTATATGTTCATAAAAAACAGTTTGACAGAGGTTTAGTAAAGTGTGGAAACATTTAAATGACATTTTTAAGTTAGATACATTTTTGGCTGCTGATGGTCCACAGATGCTGTGATGTGTTAGCAGCATGCTACGACTTCACCCTTCATACTCAAACTAGAAGTGAGCAGAGGGACTGTCAATGAATTTAAACACATTCATTATGTATATTTTAACGTGATAAGTGGAGAACATTTTAACTGAATTGTAAATGAGACAATGTCGTTTTTTTGTGGGTGACAAACTCACCTGTGACTGTGAGGTTGATGAAGTGACTGATCTCAGTGTGAACTCTTTTACTTCTCACAGGGTTCCTCACTGCTATGTGACACTCATAAATCCCAGCATCATTAAACGTGACGTTCTTCAGGATCAGAGAAACATCTCCATCCTTCATCTCCGGGTCCCTCAGCTTCACTCGGCCATGAAAAGATGGATGTTGGTAGTTTTCATAGGAGCGTTTGTTCCTGTAGAAGTAGACGTAGCCGTCTGTGTTCAGGTCAGCTCTGCTCCACTTCAGCACTGAGATTCTTTCATCTGTGATAATCTGACAGTGGAGAGTGACGTCATCTCCAAGCTTCGCCTGCAAACCCAGCTGTAGCGCTGAAGACAAAAATCATCCGTTTTTATCTCCGCTTAATGCGTCTATGTTTATTTTTATTATTTTCTTTTTATTTCTGTTTAATGCATGGAACTGATGTTAAAACTGCACATTTGACATTTGCATCTGCTGTGCTGATCCCTAAAGGGAGCAGCCAAAAGAAGAAGTGTGATAGAAATTTAAAAATGTTATCTTGAGGTGCAAGAAAAAAAAAACCAGATGCTTCTGGGACAGCTAATAATGTATGAAGCGAGTCTGACAAAGATACAAATAAATATTTGAACTAATTAAGAGAAAAAGACGTGTGACAAATTAACATGCTTATGTAATCCGTCAGTTCATGTGATCATAAGCAATGAACATTACTAGAAACGATAGAATTTTTTACTGTCTGTTGGAGGCAAACATCCTCCAGCCAGCACTTAAACCTTTACAAACAAAACCATTAACTGGGCACTAATTAACTTTTCATGTGAATTAAATGGAGCTCAGCTAGCATTAACATTGTTCACTTTACTCATGAGCTTTTGGCTTGAGAAGAAATTTTAAAAATGTAAGTGTGTTTGACTAACCTGCAGAAACATATGCTAGAGGCAAAAACAGGAGCAATCTTACAGCAGCCATCTGTGAGCGGAGGGTGGGGAGGGGAGTAGCAGCAGCCTGATAGTGAGACAGAGAGGAAAGCCTACATCAACACCAAGCCTTTTATATAGCGGGGGGCTGGTCCTAATCTTATCGCTGAAACTGCAGCTGCCACAACACGAATTAGAAATGTTCATTTAACATTTTAGGATATTTATAACCAATCATTTTAACCTTAGAACACTATCACTGGGGGATATTTACACGATTTGCAATATGTTGCATGTGTCTGAGTGTCATGGGTCCTTGTGTAGCTTCAGCACTGTCTTTAACGTCTTTGAAGGCTGTTTCCCTACCCCAAAGCCCGCTTTTTCATACAGGCATCTGTTTGGGTGATTTTCACCCAGCAACAGTGATAGAGGGCAAAGGAGGTTTTGAGTGGATTCCACTGGGTGTATAAAATCAGGCAATCTTGACGCATTTCAAGGGTGAACACATTAAGGCTCACCATATTTACTGTCCCTTGTCAACTAAAGTTGTCATCCTGTTGCTGGCTTAGCGTCTAGCTAATGAGTAAGACACAGGTCAGTTTGTTTAACTTGGCAATTGTTAGCTGACTTTTGTTAGCGATTGATCTGCTGCAGAACTGTGGCATGATCCTTGTGGGTACAGTGAAAGCAAACAAAAGGGAGATCCCACAAGTGATGAACACCAAAGAACTAACCTTTTGAAGCTTCAAAAAAGAAGGTTGTCCTCCTCCTGTCATCCATGCACACACAACCAAGCATAGGACTCACAAACCTGAAGTGATTGGATTTTACAATCAAACAAAGGGGGGTACTTTAAACCAGATGTGCTTCATAATGGCTGTTGAAGAAAAACCAAAAGCTGTCCCCTTTGTGTCTTCTATGGCATGATCAATGTTGGTGCAATGAACTTGTGGATTATTGACAATGAGTATGAAATGAAGAGAGGTGACAACCAAATGCAGAGGAGGCCTTATATTCAGGCTTTGGCACTGGGACTCATCAAACCATGGGCATTGCAGAGGCTCCCTTCTTCAAATCTGTCACATCAACTCAGAGTCCTGACCTGTAGCGTGCTCGACATCACTACCACTGGCACTCTTGCAGGTAAGGCAGGACCAGTGGCAGCAGAAAGCAGTAATCCCTTAGTGAGGTGTGCTGACTGCCCTGCAGGCTAGGACGGGAAGTGTGCAGTAATGTAAGTAAGAGTGGACCTGGGATTTGCATGTTATCCTTTTTTAGTGCAGTGGTTATGAATAAATATCACAAAGTGGTGATTTACAGGGGAATTATATTTTAGTGAAGTGGTCGTTTTTACCCTCTCAAAAAATGCCATTTTTTTGTTTCTCTCTCCTGCAGCTGTTCACGTGTTGAGGAGACTGTGCTTTCACCAGGGAAGTCTCAAATGTCCCAGGAATGGCTGGACCAAAGACCAACTTTCCAGTGTCATTATTATTTTGTTTAGAAATTTTTTGTTCTTGAATTCCAAATTTTTAAGGAATTTTGGAGATTTTTTTTTGTTTTTGTTTAGGATCCTCCCATAACACTTTTTTTTCATTTTGTTAGACGTGGCACAGTTGAAAATAACAGAAGACCACTCTAATTTGTCATGTGTTGTCATATTTTGATATATTTTGATGATAAGTGCTTTTTTTTGGGTATATTATATTGCGTAAAAATCACACGGCGTTAGTGATAGTGTTACTATTTATAGCGATAGTGTTCTACGATTAAATCAGTGACACCTGGGCCTGTTTCACACAAATCCGGGGACAGGGGAAAGTCATTTCCAGGTTTCCTTCAGTCAGCGTTAGGGTTGGGCCTTATAATACCATTCACGGTAATACCAGTATAATGTTAGGCAGTGATAAGGAAATGAAATATTGCTATAGAAGCTATAGAATATGGGTAAAACACGCATGCGCAGTGCCTTTGTTTTTATACACACATGGCAGAAAAAGCATGGCGTGATGGAGAATGAGAAGGGCGAAAGCGGATCGTTGAATGAAACAGATAAACCAGAATTGGTTTGTAAAAATGGTGCAACTTCAGTGGTGGAACTGGTTTGGTTTGGGTCCTGTCAAAAATGTTTTAGTACGACTTCGGTAAGCTACAAAACCGCACCGCTTGATGGATTGTTGGAGCATTACGGCATTAGTCAGGAGCCTTGCAGAGTGATGCATACTGTGCTTTAACTTAATATTACCGTATTGTGTGTGTATGTGTTCTTTAGGTTACATGGTTATGCTCAGGATATGTCAGCCCATTTCCACTGGAAATGCCGTTTGGTTAAACTGTCAGCAAGGAATTTCCATTTGCACCGTCAAAATGTTATACAGCTTTAATGCACATAAAAAAACAGCTGCTTGTTTAAGTGAAAATACATTGATAGTGTTTTTTGTATTAATAAATTTGTGGAGTTGTAAAGTATTTTATCTCGCGTCAATTATATCGTCAGTTATATCGTTATCGCAAATTTTCAAATATATATCGTGAAAACATTTTTGGCCATATTGCCCTGCCCTAATCAGCATCAGAGCTGAACACACTGAACTCACCAGCAGCTATGACATTTACACGGGTACATGAACTCATTTTCTGTGTCCCAATTCAGCAACCGCACGCTTCCGAGTACGCATTTTGAGACCTATTACGTCACAGCAACGCGACAGCGGCTGTCCCAATCTGAAGTGTACTCCAAATCCATACTCGAAATGCGCCGTCGATTTCCCCAAATATCAAGCGTGGTCCGGTGCACGCTTCGTGGTCCCATATATCCCACAATTCATAGCGC